GGAATTTGGCTTAAGACTGTTAAATCCTGCCTCTCTTCTGCGTGATGGAAAATGTTGCTTAGTAACTTGGTTTTTTCCACAATGCCACTTTAGCATTCCAGGGGATTTGGAAGTACGGGTTGTACTCATGTGACTTTCTTGAAATATCTAGGCTCTAATCAAAGTAACATAAATAATCATCTATTGATATGTGTGTGTGTACGTATGTGATTGTTTATATATATATATGTATGTATGAATATGTATATGTACCAGAACAGTGTTAATATGGAGTCAAAGCTAGTCTCCTGAGAGAGAAACATTTGTGTTTATTATGAAGAATAATCATTTGTTAGCTTGAGGTGTGATTATGTGATTTATATAGATCTTTCATTCTGAAAGGGTTTGAACTTTCTATTTCGAATTTGTAAGTATTTGAAATTCAGACCCATTTTTACTGACTGATGGGGCCATGATTACAGCTAAGGCTAGGGGGAGCTGATGTTCCCCAGTGAAAGAAACATGCTATTTGTTCATCTATTTGGTCCCAATAATCCTCATACGTAAGGTCAAAGGAGGTTAAGATTTAGCTGGATTGGTTAGATGATACTTCGTATACCATTGTTCACACTGTTGCTTTTTTGTTTATTTCTTTATTTTTAGAGTTGTAACAATTTACATGTGGATTTATCTGTGACCTGGGCTCATGATTCACACACACAGAATCTGTTAAAGACTATAGATCAACAAATGCCTAGCTGTGATCAGCCAAACATTACAGTATAATTTCTGATCTCAGCTGGTTTCCTTGCTTAATGACCGCAGGCTTTATCAGGGGCTGATTCGTTTCTTAAATGATCATTGCAGCCTAATGAAGTGGACGTAAAGGAAACACTTGCAAAGTGTATTTTGCTTCCTTTTACTCCCTTCCCTTCTTGGATCCTTTCAGCCCCTTTAACTGCGTCTCTTTCTCCCTGAACTGAATCCCCAAGACTGAAAGTATACGTAGCTGAGAAGAAGCCGGGGCTGGGAAATCTGAGGCAAAGTTGAGAGTAGGAGAAAGAGCATATAATCTGAGAATGGACAAGGCCTGGGGTGCTGCTGTGAGCATATGGGAGCATGGATCTATAGGACGGGAAGGTCAGAGGTCGATCAACAGGTAGAACTTAGGCAGCAAGCAAAAATCAGGGACACAGGAACAGTGGAGTTTAGTGGGCACTAAAGGAACAAATAAGGAAAAGTCCAGATCACGTCAGGAATCAGTCTACAGAAATGGGAAGAGCTGTGGCACCATCTGGGCAGCAAACTTGGAAGATGAGCACAGAAGTTCTTGGGCATTTCAGTGCAAGTTGTGCTCTGGCCAAGAATCTTGGAAGGCATTCCCAGTTAGGCTAGGAACCAGCCCAGAGCGTGGGCCTGCAGAGCCTACTCCTCATACAAGCACGTCATGGGCGTGACTGCCTGGAAAGGAAAGGGAGGTGGCCTGGGAGGGTCCTGACACCTAAGGAGAGGGGTTAAGGGCATGTGGTAACATGGGCATAATCAGCACTTTGCTGGGCATTGTGTTTTCCATGACTCATGGGCCGTGTTGCAACACACCCATCGGAATTCTAGGCAGTAAAGCCACCCCAGTCAGGGCTGGGAGTGAAGAAAGAGCTTTTAGTGGGTCTGTTCTATTCCAGATGATCAGCAAACCTTATATCATCATGGGTTTTTATAGCTCTGTTCTCATGTTTCCCTGCTCATTAACCCAGAAGGCAGTGTGGAGGAGCTACTATAAAGATGCTTTGACGTACAGCAACCAGAGGGGAGTGGGGAGTTTATATAGAATGTATAGTTTACATTCTATATAAAAATCTCAGTTCTCTTTTTAAGGTTGTTCATAGCAAAAAGAAAAAATAGATCTGTTTGCAAAGAAATACATTGGAATACATAATATAAATGAAGATTAATTCATGAGAAAAATGTAACTTGTGATCATGTATATAGTTTTGGTGTGTATTACACATACACATTTAGATACATAATATTTACATGCATGAGTGTAGTATAAATACATATGCATAAATTTATATTGCTTAGGAATTCTGAGGATGAGATTTCTAGTTATTAATTGTTGTTAACTCAGTGTTTTGGTCCTTTTTAAAGACATTAGTACAAAATTATTCAGTACCTTATCTACATTTATTTTTACTTATATTATGAACTTAGGCCAGTTTACAGGAAAGAAGAGGTAATAAACCTGACACTTCTACTCATACATCTTTGTCAAATATTTAGTTTTTAACTTGAATTATTTCATGTATACATTTGTAGGTAATTAAATAATGCACTTAGTGTTTGTTTTTATTAGCTTTATTGTATGGTGATGTAATATTTTGATTATAATTCTCTTATTTTTAACCATTTGGGTCAATAATACTTTTTTTCTCATTAAAAATATCACCAGTGCGAACATTTTTTAACAAATTATTTTTGGGTTTTTTCCTTTAGGCCTTTTCCCCAAAGTGAGATTAACAAGGGCAGGGGCAATTTTTTTGTGGCTTCTGTACAAATTGCCAGATTGTTTTCCAGAAAGATTGAGCTAATTCGCTGTGCCGCCATTGATATATAATGAACAGTCCCAATTTTAGACAGTTCAGATAGCCTGAGCACATGTGAGAAGTATAATTACATTTCCACCCCAGGGCCTAACTGTGTAGATAGCTCTCCTAAAGAAACTTCGTATGTGGACGCCGGCATTATAGAACCGATAACAACGTGTAGTTAATTTGTTCTTCAGAATGTGGAACAAATCCACATTCAAGTTCGGCTTGGGGGATGGAGAACATGCTGTGTTGAGGTGGAGCCCCCTTTTGGACAAGTGTGGTACTGTAATCTCTGTGCGGTGTCACCCAGGCCAGAGCAAAGGGAAAGGCAGACAGTTGGGTGCCAGCATTTCTGCCAGTGAGGCTATCAGGCCGGTGGGGAATTGTGGATGGCTTCTTGGGAAGGGTGGGGGCACTCTGGAGTTGGGAGGAGAGGGCATGTCCAGTGGGCACACTGGGGCCACGGTCGTGGAGCTGGGTACCTCCTGGGCAGCTTCGAACTGAAGGCCTTCCTCATTGGAAATGTCAGTTCAGGCGTGTTGGGGTGATTTTTTCCCTCCGTGACAGTATTAGTAATTTTTGAATGGAAGCCGATAGAGATTACAGATTCTGTGCATTCTGTTCACTCTAAAAGGATATAGTTTGCCTGGGCTATACAGGTTCCTTTGCCTTGTTTCTGACAGGGAAAAAACTTAGACCTTTCCCCTAGAAGTACACTCCTGTCTTGCTCTCATTCTTGCTGACGGAGCATGGTACCTTTGCCAGCTTCCCCAGTGACTTGCGAAAGTTCTGTAACCTAAATACAGGACATGTAACAGCACGTTATAGAACTGGGGCGGGAGGGTACTGCAGAACACAACATATTTCATATAGCATGCAGTTCAGAAAGGCACAAAGGAATTACTATAAATCATCGGTTTTGGGTTGTTTAAAAATCATCATGTGTACACATTTTAAAGAAGTGAACACATATTATCCTAGCAATTCCAAGTCATACAGTTACATGGAAGTTGAGATAAAAAATTGTTTTAATTTCCAGGTCCCAAAGTAGAAGTCAGTATTGATGGGGCATTCGAGGGCCAGCAGTGGTGAAGGAGAGAAACACCAGGGCTGCCACGTGACCCAATTAGGGCTTTATTTATTTATTTTTTACTGTCAGCTGACTTTTTCTTTTTGGAGGTAAAATATATATGATGAGTCCTGGCTAGTGTGTCTTACTTGGTTGGAGCATCATCCCATAGACAGAAGGGTTGCGGGTTCGATTCCCGGTCAGGGCACATACACAGTTGTGGGTTTAGTCCCAGGTTGGGGAGGGTACAAAAGAGCAACTGATTGATGTTTCTCTCTCACAAGGACATTTGTCTCTCTTTCTCTCTGTCTCTCTTTCTCTTCCCCCTTCCTCCCCCCAATCCCTTTATCTCTCTCTCTCGCTCTCTAAAAGCAATGAACAAATGTCCTTGGGTGAGGATTAAAATAACTAACTAACTACCTAAATAAATAAATAAGTGGAGTTTGCCATCTTGACCTATTTAAGTGTGTAATTCAATGACATTAACAATGTCATGTCACATTCACAGTGACATGCAACCATCACCACTATTTCCAATACTCTTCCATTATCTCAGACAGAACTTCTGTACATTAGGAATTTATTTCGTAATTGGTTATTTCAGAACTTTTTCTGGCTTGAGGAAATGCAGGTACAGGCCGTATGCTAGGGTTGATTCTGCTAGGCATGTGTCCTTTGTTAGCCAGTTTCCTCTCACCCTTCCTGATGTTGCTGGCTCAGTCGAAAGGGTGGCCATCCAGGTGGGGGAGGGGAGGGTGATGTTCTGTCCCGGGCACGTGAGCAGCTACGTTCCTCTGCTGAAATCTCCAAATCAACTCTATTTATAGGAGAGCATGGGTAACCTCACTTATTTAATGTATTTTAAAATTGAAAAGCAGTATTCTTGGCAGTTTAAAAAAATTAAGAACTTATAATTTTGAACACAAAAAGTCACTGTTTTTTATATTTCATTTCAGTCTTTTCTCACATGTTTTTGACATAGTTGATCACGATGGATGTAACTATATAAAGTAACTTATTTTTTCATCTAACATATCACTTACAAGGTTTCATTTTGCTCAGTCGTCTTCATGATAATAGGCCCATAAATGCATGTAGCTGAATTGACATAACCATGCTGCTTTCTTTGACAGTTAGGTTGTCAAAAATTATAACTATTATAAATGAACTTCTTCAAACATCATCTTTCTATAGTTGAACTCCTTCATTTTATTCTCACGAGAGACAGATGAACACAGAGCTCACATGTATCCTGTGGGCCATGGCTTCCATGTCTCCCGTGAATTTTGGTACAGTCAGGGGTGGTTTGTTTTTGTCATTATGATAGACATCAGGTGGATGACAAGTGTCTGGTTGGGTTACAGGTTGTGAAGATCTTAGAGAAGCATGACCCCTTGAAGAACACCCAGGCGAAATACGGGTCCATCCCTCCGGACGAGGCCAGCGCGGTGCAGAACTATGTGGAACACATGCTCTTCTTGTTGATCGAAGAGCAAGCCAAGGATGCCGCCATGGGGCCAATTCTGGAATTTGTGGTCTCCGAGAACATTATGGAGAAACTCTTCCTTTGGAGCTTGAGGCGGGAGTTTACCGATGACACTAAAATGGAACAGCTAAAGATGTACGAGATGCTGGTCACCCAGTCGCACCAGCCGCTGCTGCACCATAAGCCCATTCTGAAGCCCCTGATGATGTTGCTGAGCTCTTGTTCGGGGACGGCCACCCCTGCCGTGGAGGAGAAGCTGGTCGTCCTGCTCAACCAGCTCTGTTCCATCCTTGCCAAAGACCCGTCCATTCTGGAACTCTTCTTCCACACGAGTGAGGACCAAGGGGCGGCCAACTTCCTCATCTTCTCCCTTCTGATTCCCTTCATTCACCGAGAGGGGACAGTAGGGCAGCAGGCCCGGGATGCGTTGCTTTTCATCATGTCTCTCTCTGCTGAGAACAGCGTGGTGGCCCGTCACATCGTGGAGAACACGTACTTTTGTCCAGTAAGTCCCCCTCATTGCCGTGTTTGTCACCCACTTCTCTTTTCCTGTCTTGTGCTAATGATACACACTTCACTGTTCCTTTCAGCAAGTTGTGCTTGGCACCTTCTGTGGAAAGATATTTACAGGGAATCTTTGGGAGGGACCAGGGCAATCCTAAACTGAGACGCTATTTGGCTGAGCAGCGTCAGCTCAAGATAAGCCAACAGGGGCAACGATATGTGTTAGCCCATTTCTGTTGGGTTAGGAACTGTTTTAGTTTTTCCTAAGAGCATGTCTTGAGCAATTGGTAAGACCTGCATTTTCTATATTCTCAGCTTTTCAGGTTTATTTTTGCCCCAACAGATCCTAGCATGTGGTGAGGCCCCTCACAGCTGGTTTCACAAATTAATTTGTTTCTCAGCAAGATAATGACCATAACTATAGACACAAGGCACTGGTTTTATTGTAGAAAATAAATACATATTTACAATGTAAGGTAGCAAGAAATTCTCTATTCTGTATAGGTTTTTTTTTTTTTAAGAGAGAGGGGAAGGGAAGGAGAAAGAGGGAGAGAAACATCAGTGTGTAGTTGCCTCTCACATGGCCCCAGTTGGGGATCTGGCCCACAGCTAGGCATGTGCCCTGATTGGGAATCAAACTGGCGACCCTTTGGTTTGCAGCCTGCACTCAATCCACTGAACTATAGCAGCCAGGGCTCTGCATAGGTTCTTAATCATTGGTATAGTGAGAGGTAAAGTGTAATGTCCTTTGCAGATGTCAGAGTGGCCCAGGTCCAGTTACAGTTCCAGAAAATAATGGGAGCTGCCTGGGACTCTGAAGACCCCTTGGATTCTGATTGTTGTTTTGGTGTTGGTCTCATCTTTGGAAGGGGATTCAGATGGCAGATTTATGTCTTCTGGTTTGTCCATTACATTGGACAACAGCCATTGTTTCCCTGAGTGAACATTTCCAGTTCATTTCCATTGTCTGTTTCCTTTTACAGTTGCATCATTATATTTATGTGTAAACTATATTGCTGTAAATATGCCTGATTCTTCCGGAACAGTATACAATACCATCAGTAAATTTTTTTAGAACAGGCCAGGAAAGTTGACATCAGTAGATTAGATTTGTTGTTAATTAACACTATGTGGGTAGTTTTTGACTGGGGTGAGGACATTTAGAGGGCATTTAGGAAGGTGTGTGGGGTGTGTTTGGTTGTGATAGGGACATGGGTGGCTGGGGAGGAAGGTCAACTGCCATTCAGTGTGAGGAGGCCAAGGATACTTAGTGGCTGGTAGTCAGTGGAATGGTCTTGCCCCATAAAGAATGACCGCCTCAAAGTGCTAATAGCAATCCTAATGAGTAACATGTTTTGTTTCAAGGTTCAAATGAAGTAATCTTCTTTATACTACTATAAATTCTTATTTTTACTAAGAAACCAGGGCCACCTAGTATCTGGTGAATATTTATTTCAGGGCAAACAAGTAAAATTTTTTTTTAAGATTTTATTTATTTATTTATTGTTTTAGAGAGGGAAGAGAGGGAGAAAGAGAGAGAGAGAGAAACAACAATGTGCTGGGGGTCATGGCCTGCAAGCCAGGCATGTGCCCTGACTGGGAATCGAACCTGCGACACTTTGGTTCGCAGCCCGTGCTCAATCCACTGAGCTACACCAGCCAGGGCACAAGTACAATTTTTTGAAAAATAGAATTGCAATTAAGAAATTCAGGGTACCAGGTAGCTCTTCTCTTCTGTGTTCTGACCAATGGAATAAGAACTTGCACAAAGATTGATAGGTGGAAAGTGAAGAACTGATTCCCTTCACCTGTGCCAACATATTAAGTTTCCCTTCCTTCGAGCTCTCTGAAAAAAAATGATTACCTTTTAATAAGCTTCCACCTTCACAACATTGCTCATACCCAGCTCCTCCTTCTCATTCTCAGCCCTACCACTCTTGGTCCTAGACCCTAACTTGTCTCCCTCCTTCCTTAGTATCTACCAAACTCACCATCTTCTATTGTCAGATTAAGTTCTAACAAAATTCTGATTGTGCTGTTTTATTGCTTACATTTCTCCAAGGGAAATTCTCCAAACTGGGTATAACAACTGTGGTGTGCAGAATGATGCCTCCCCCCACCCCCCCTTCAAGTTGTCTACACACTAATCCTTGAACCCGTGAATGGGGTAAGAGATAGAGTCAGGATTTGAACCTGGGCAGTCTGACCCCACGACCCTTGTGCTTATTAACCTTGTATATAAGTAATCAAGTATCAAGACTTACCATAAAACACCAACCATAAAGAAGAAACTAGAATTAAGAACAAAAAACACAGATTGAGAGAAGATGCTTGCAACACACATAACTAATGAATGATTGGTACCCAAAATGAAGAAAAAACATTTGTAATGCTACAAATTAATAAAATGATCAAACAATGCATTAGAAAAGTGGGCAAAGGATGTGAACAGACAATTCCCAAAAGGCACCCCAACCCAGTAAACATATGAAAATGTGCTCACCTTCCCTAGCACATGTGGTGTGGAAGATGCACATCATCCCACAGAGAGATACCGGACACTGCTCACCAGAGCGGCTAACTGTTGGCTCTCTGGTGACACCAGGTATTGTGAGGGGTGTGGAAAACAGGAACTTTTGAGAATGTACATTGGTACAATAAACCAGGAAGCATTTAACAACATTGAATATTTGTGTGCAGTGTGATCGTGCATCTTCTGGACACCCACCCTAGGGCAGTATGACAGGTTTGCAAAGATACATGCACGAAGATACTCAGTGGAATACTGATTTGAGAAGAGAAAAATAGAAATATATTAAGGGAAAGATAAATAAACTGTTTTGTTTTACATCAATGGAATACTACTCTACATTTGAAATGAATGAATCACATGTAACTATACAAATGTGAATACCTGTAAGTCTAAAAACATATAAAGTGAAAGAAGTAAGTAACAAAAGGTTACATAGTATGTTGGTATTTACTTAAAATTCACAGAAAGACAAAATCTGAGTGTATGCTGTTTTGTGGATATACAGTGAAAGTATAAAAATGAGTATAGAAATAATAGGTACTAACTTCAAGACTGCGATTACTTTTTAGGGTGAAGAGAGGAGGAGGGAGCAGTAGGGTTTAGCTCTATTTGTTATGTTTTATTTTTTGATAAAAATAAAGAGTGCCCTGAAGAAATTATGGGCAAATATTAAAATCCTTGAAATCTTGGGATGGTTTCTGTTCTATTATGTTTTATGTGTTTGTAATATTTCATACTTAAACATTTAAATTTATTAGGGCTGCTTACGTTGGAAGCAGATTTTACTGAGTAGCTGTTGCTTGTATGAAGAGGTGTTTTCAAACACTGTGTGGTTCATAAAAACTGGAGGAAAATGACAGCCACAACTGACCTTATTTTCTGGAACGGAACACACAGCTTTCTTGTGTTAAGCTGCCCCCTCCGGATGGACCCCATAATCTCATTTGTACCCAGTTTTCTATAACTACATCTGACAACATAATTTTTAAAAGGGGGCCTCTTTGTGTTGAATATAAAAGCATATTCTATTACCATCCAGCTAAGGATCACAGATGACAAAAAGTTTTCCCTAATTAGTATGATTGTCAAAGTGTGTTAGCGTCAGGCATTGGGGAAGAGTAATGACTCTTTCAGGAAACTAGACCATTTTTGGAAACTCCTGTCGTAGTTATAGGAAGAGCTTGCTGGTTCCACTGCCTCTTATCTCAAGATGTGCTTTTCCAAGAAAAGCAGAAGAATGAGGATACCCTAGGGAACACTTGAGTGCCAACACGTAAATGGCGGGGGACTCTGTGACCTTGTCTTCTCTTTGATTCTTTTTAAACCAAATATTGACGATTGAGCCCTCGTCACTTGTTCCATATTGGCAAAGGGAGAAAGTAGCCTATAAATTCAGAATGCAAATTGAAATAAGCAACCTTTAGATACACAGCCGCGGGTAGTACATTATTTATCCCATATCTGAAATTTATGAGGCTTTTTATGTTGGCACAGTGTATCAAACGGTCCCCACCAGGTGTTCTGTTGCTAGCTTCAGACCGAAGCCATCTGCTAAAAATCTTTTTGTTTTTGCTGAAATTAACTGGGTCCTTTCAGGTGTTTCACGTTATAGATGGACCTTCCCTGACTTGTTCTGTGCTCTGTGCACGTGTCCTCTCCTCCCTCCACTGGGAACACTGCAACGTGCAAACCAGTGGTGGTCGGTCACCTTTCTACTTGCACTACGTTCGTTAATCCTTGCTGCAACCGAGTAAAGAAACCGAACCCTAGAGGACTTCGTAACCGCTGTAAATGGCAAAGTCAAGTTCAACAACTGCATTCATTAGTCTGGTACTGAAATGCACCGTCTCACCAACCACCTCGGATATACTGCCTCCAGGGAAGTGGTTGCTTTTTAAATGATCTGTTATTATCCTCATAGTTTTATATGGTGATTCGTTTCTTTTAAGAAGACTCTTGAGAGCAAATAAATTAAAAATATTGGGTCAATACTTAATGTATTAGGAATAAATATGTTTTATAATTACTTTTGTGTGGTCAGGATCAATGAAGGGCTGAAATAATGGATGGGCATTTTGTTTTTAATGAGCTGTTGAATGTCCATGTATTTTAAATTAAGTTTAAAATGAAATTTAAACGCAAATAGATTGTGCTATTTAACTCTTGGGAAAATCACCTGCAAGCCTGTTGCTGCCTCTCCTTTCCCCCGGTGCCGTTCCTGAAGCCACCCCCCCCCCCCGCCCCCGCCCGCGTGCCTCTGTGCGGCAGGTGTCTTTCTCCCATTTCTTACTTTATCGTCCGTCCGTCTCCTCCTTCTCGCCTGGTCTGACCTGTTCGCTTCTCTTCCTCTAGCCCCTGGCCCATAGTCGATGTTCCAGAAATGTACGTGGATTGAGTGAATGAATCTGACCCCTGAGCAAAGTCTTAGGAAGGGAAATACAAATAGCCGTAAAGATTCGGAACCTTGCTCTTAAGACTATGGGAGAGTTTATTCTGCAGACTATTTCCTTCCACGATTCTTTGCCGGAGGAACACAGCAGAGACATTCTCCCGCCCCAGCCCCAGCGGCGAGACCGGCGGGGCTCCCCGTGCCGCCGTGCCGCGGCGCTGTCCGGCGCAGGCAGGCTTCCGCTGGCACCTTAGCGGTGCCTTGTTCAAGAATACGCTTTTTAAAAAGTGAATATTTAGGTACGTGTTATTTTTAATTACTGTCACTGATGTATATAATTTGAAGATTAATGTTGCTGTAATTATATTGATATACTAAATAGTTATTCCCAGCGTTTTAGTCAGACAAATTAGGCCTGTCTTTATGAATTCATCTTCAAAGCCTCAGAGTGGTGAAGGAATCAGGAGTACGCAGAATTAAAGCCTTTTGTTCTGTGGTTAATTTAGCATGAGTTAGCAAATGTAATTGATTTTTTAAATGTGGCATCAAGGTTAGCTTTCCCTTCAAGGAGAGCTTTTGGTCTCCGTTCTCTCTTGGTGAAGGTTTTAAATTTTTTACACGCAACCCACTCGGGTCACATTTTACACTGGAATTAAAGTGATTTGTTTGGGTGTGTTGACAAGGAGTTAAGTACTTTAAATAGGGGACATTCTCCTTTGGGACCACAGATGCTCGGATTTTGAAAAAGCAATAAATGCGCTGTCTTGCTTACTGTTGTGTTTCCTGTCCTCACCCTAGTACCTGGCCTGGAGGTGCTCAGGAATTCTTTTCTAACGAGCAAGGGGCTCAGTGAGTGAATAAAGGCCACCGGGACACAGAACAGGGAAATGGATAGACTCTTCTGGTTTCTTACGTACTGAAATGGTTCCTCAGTTTCCCCCACTGCCCTTCCCACTCCACCGTGCGCTCCCCTCCATGTGACCCCACCCCCTCCTTCCCGTGGCGTCACCTGGTTTCTCTGCACCGAGGCCTCTTAGGTCCCGTTTCTCAGGCCAGGCCTGTCTGTGCTCTGCTGTCGAGCTTGACGTGTCACTCGTGGGAAGTGCTGCTCGCCTGACACTCCACATGCCTGCCGGCACACGTCATCCCCCTCCAGCGTGGCCTGGCCCGAACGAGTGAGGCCAGGTGAGATGAGAAGACAGCCCGTGCACTAGAAATGCCAGAATGATGGCTGCTACACAAAGGGGTACAGAGGGTGCAGTGGGAAAGGGGCGGGGGGAAAGGAGAGGCAGCAACGAGTGTGTAGATATTTTTTCCCAGTTCAACATACCTGGACCCACACCTCCTTCTGACTTTCTGTTTCTGATGCCAGACACTGTGGGTTGTTTTGTCATATCTCACCTGTCGAAACCTCCCTTCTCTTCTCCCTCTGGCCTCTAGGGCTGGAGGCACCATCTACACATGGACGGTTCCAGATCTCCGTCTCTATCCAGATCCCTTTCCTAAGCACCAGCCCCCACACAGCTGCCTACTGGGCTTTCCCACAGGGTGTCCCTGAAGCTCTTTAGTCTGTCCTGCAACACCCCACGGGCTCTGACTCCTGCTTACCTTGCTGGGCTCCAACCACCTCAAATTCTATACTCCAATTATAAACGCACTTCTCTTGGTCCTTGGACGATACCACCTTTTCTTTTTCCTTTGAGCTTTTGTACACCCCCTACTTAGCATATTCTCTCTTTCGACACTCTTTTCCTATCTACTATTTATTCTTTAGCAGCTTGGACATCACGTCTTCTGAGAACATTTCCTGCTCCTTCCCATCCCAAATCTGGATTAAGGGCCTTTGTATATCCACAGCACCATACGTTCTCTATGATGTATTCTGAATATTTAGTACACTATTTTAACTGCCTATTCATCTCTTACTCGATGCAGAGCTCAGTGAATACCTCACTATTATTTTCTGAGCCTAAGTGAGGATTGGATGTTTTCTTGAATGTTTCCAGCCCAGTTGAGGTCCCCATAGCCTCAGGGTTTGGCCTAGAGGAGGGCCTTTTACAGACGGCTTCCTTGCTTCTGTCCTGTGCTGTTCCTGCCCGCCCTTTGTATGTCTGCCCCTGGGGGTCTCTGAGGTGCTGTTGCCTAGCATCGCTCCCCAGCTGGGAGGCTTCCCAATCATGACATTCATGATTTCCCTCGGCCTCATACTCCCCAAGATAAAATCAACAGGCATGCAGCACAGGTGGGTTCCTTCCCCACATTTCTATTTCTTCTAAAGGCTTCACCATTTTCTTAATGACCAAGCTGGATAACTTTGATAATTTTGAGTTCTCGTTCACCCTCACTAAGTCCAGATGCTGCCATTTTGGGAACAGAGCACAGAGGGAGGAAGCAAACCCCGTGAGCTTTGGATCAATCCTGGATCAATAGATGTCATAGCTCGCTCACCCTCACGTTCACTTACATGTGAACCCCACGTTTATTTCCTCCTCCCTTTTCCTACTGCCGATGCTTCAGCTCAGATCCACTGTAGCTCTGTTTGAACTATTGCCGTCACATCTAGCTGACCCATGACCCCCAGTTCATTCTTCTTGCTATCATCTGTGAATATCAGATTGAAGTGCTTTTTAAACTGTAAATATGCATGTGTCTATCATGGCCTTTAACACATTTGCAGGAATCTTTCTCATAACACCTCTCAGGGTTCTTACTGGGAGACCTTCTGTCCTGGAGCGAGCGCCCAAGTCCAGGGCTTCCTCCCACGGACTGGGGTGTGGGCCTTCTCTGTATCTGCACTCAGTGCATTGTGCTCTAATGTGCTGTGTTGAGTTTGCTCCTCTCCTGAATGTCATGGGGGCAGGGATCATGTTTTCTTCATCTGTGCATGTGTCTCCCTCACTCCCTACCCCAGGCCAGCATATGCCTGGTACAGAGGAGGTAAGCAACCCAAATCAATGATGTACGTATTAACCAAATACCCTGGGTGCTGCTGTTCCCTCTACTGGAGTTGTCCGTCTGCACCTGTTGAATCCTTCCTAGCCAGCGAAATACCCTCTCATTCTTCAATACCTTGCTACTTCCAGGACAGGCCTTGGACCAGCGGCATGGGCCTCCCCCGGGAGCTCTTAGTCGCAGGCTAAGACTTTGGAAGAGAGCTGATGACAATTTTGTTTCTGAACACAGGTGCTCGCCACCGGACTCAGTGGTCTCTACTCTTCCCTGCCCACAAAGCTGGAAGAGAAAGGCGAGGAGTGGCACTGCCTTCTCAGAGACGACTGGCTCCTCCTCCCTTCCCTCGTGCAGTTCATGAACTCCCTGGAGTTCTGCAATGCCGTCATCCAGGTACTGAGCACAATGCAGGGACCCTTTGTTACTGTCCCGTTGGAGTACAAGCATGGCCAAGGAGTAGGTTATGAACAGTCCCTTTTTTACTTGAATGTTTTTGGACTGTGGACGCTTGGCTTGAAGCACACTGAATATCCTTGGATGAGTAAAAATGTCAGTTTATGGGTTTCTGGGAAGTTTTAATTGAGAAAAAAATAAGTAGATTTTCTTTATCTTCCTTATAAAATTGATAATTCTGTTTTGATTATCCACTTAACCATCAAAAAATAAGTTCAATGCCTGACTCATTAAATAGATATTTTTAGGCTTTTAAGCACTCCAAATTATACCACTTTTATTTCAAGGTCTTTTTGGGAGTCTACAAAGGAAAACACTTTATTTTGCTTAATGGTGCATACTACATAAAAAATGTTGTTATCCCAATTGAATTTAGAAGAACTTAAGCATCTTCTTAGTAACACAAATTAAATTTGCTTTGAAATTGGCCTGCTTCGGGGGAAAAAGCACCACTGAACTCTACTATATTTGGCTTCTTGATTGGATTTTTACTTTCTGATTTCTTGTTATTGTTTTCAGTAAAAATCAGATTTTATATACATTTAAGGATGTAGTAAATATTTGTCAAACAATGTTTTATTTCTGTACAGCATAAATATCACCTTAATATTGTATTTATTAAGAAATCAGATTTTGTTTATGGTGATTGTAAGGTGAAAAATGTTAGTGATAATCTGTTTATCTACCAAATAAAGAAATAGCTTCTGGAAGAAAATGCAAATAAATTACTTTGGTTCCCATCGTATTTTTATTGCTAAGTCAAAGGAAGTTTTATTTATATGTAAGTGGATTACATCTTAAGTTATTTTTTCTTTAATATTACAGTCTATCAACATTTTCCTGCAGAATGGTATGGAAATAAAAGAGATAGAGCTATTACTTTCTCCCCAAATGTACACAAACAGAGACTGTTAGTAATTCAAAGATGTAACCTCATTTCCCTAGAAATTGCTGTTTATTTTATTTGACTATTATTTTTTAACAAAGAAAAGTAAAGCTAATGGTCACGGTTAAGAACAGCAATGTGATATATTTCATACTATATTTTGAAATTGAGGCTGTATACCATATTTTGCCACGTATAATGTGTTCTTTTTTGCCCAAATTTTTGAGGGAAAGATAAGGATAAGATTACATGGGTATGATGATTACATACCGTCGGTGTAATAATGGTGTGCATAATGCACACGAAAGTGAGGGTGCACATTATACACGGCAAAATATGGTAGTTTAAGATTTTGGGGGGTACTATATTGAAAAGGTTACTTATAAAAGATATTAGTAAGGATTATCCATGGTAAATATATTTTGTCAATCAAATATAGGAAGATTTTTTTTACCTCTGATAATGTTTTCTGCTTTTGAGTAGGATCTATTTTTTATAGAAAAATTTCCCAAATATCTTCCTCTACAATAAAATGAGGAGCAGAATATGCACCTTCAAAATGAGAAATTTTTTTCTGCCGGCAAAATAAATGTACTTATTTGTCCATTTTGACAGTCATATTCTTTTTTTAAATTAGTTCCAAGTTGAGAGGAGACATAGATGAAGTTATGGGGTAGAAAATTATACTACCCAGATTGTGAATTTTATATTATGACTCCTTATACATCCCAGGCTATTTATTGTCTATTTTAAAAATAGAAACTTAAAATTGCCACTTTTTAAAAATTTGTAAGTCCAAGCTATTTATACTGAAATCAACCATCTGAAAAAATTCCATGGTGGTTTAAAATCTGAATTATTCTTTAACCATGAAATAAATGGCCACAATTTGGATTTCTTTTTTGAATTTGGAGTGTACACAGAAATGTTTGATTTTTAAGAAGACCTAAAATTGTAATTCCTTGTGTTTTTTGTAACTACTTGTTTCTCCCTCAGGTGGCTCATCCCTTGATTCGTAATCAGCTTGTCAGTTATATTTACAACGGGTTCTTGGTCCCTGTCTTGGCTCCTGCTCTCCATAAGGTCAGTGATTGGCTGATGTAACTTTTTATTTGTTTGTGGTACAACTGGTGGGAACTGAGGAAGGCGAACACGGTGTAACTGACTTGATGGGGACGTTAGCCTTATTTCTCCCTCCGTCCATATTCCTTAGCCATGGCAAACACAGGTCTTAACAGTGGCTACAGCTTAAGTCTGATGGGATCCATTTGGTGTCATAGAATATGGCATTTTGAATGACAAGTAAGGCAGTCTACACCAGGATTGGCAAATAGACGGACTCTTGTACCTACGTAGTTCATGGTTAGTGGTTACTTGGAACTCAAGGCCAAGTCTGTCATAGAGGGCGCAAGGTTTCCTGTGGATGTGGAGATGGGTGCTGGTAGCACAAGTCCCTTGGATTTGCCTTTTCTCAGAACACAATTTTTTATTTAAAAAATTTTGTGACAGCAAAAATTAAAGTGAAGCCAAGTTAAGGTCCCGTCCAAGGTTGGCTGTCTCATTAGCACCGGTGTGAATCCCCTGTGACACTCTCATTCTGTGTAGTAAGTCAACTGATAGCTTTTCTGTTGTGAGCTGTCAGGAGACACGCCTGGACCTAGAATTCTAATTTTAAGAACTTTTTTCTTCACGGAGGAAAGAGACATATACAGTATTTAAGAGGATCTTTGTCAAGTTATTGGAATTGCCAGCCTTGGTTCGGTGAGAAGCGAGGAACTACTCATCCCATGCTTTTTGGTGGAATGCCTCCCTTTCCACACCTGCCAAGGTCCATCTCTGTGGCTCTCATTTGACAGAATCCGAGATTACCGGACTATGGCAGCTCTGTAGCCTGGCTGCACATGCTGAGGGGAGTTCTAATTTAGATCACTAGGTCTTTTTTTTTTCTTCCCCAAATTTTCAAAGTATTTTTTTGAGGAGACGTTACCTTCCAGATAATTCCACACCACACATGCCATGCTTAGTATCACAACTCTAGCCAGCCTTTGTGCACCCCCATCTCTCAGAGCAGCAGGTCTTGGTGGACGATGCTCATGTGTTGCCACTTGGTGTCTTTTGAGCACAGTGACAATGTTCTCCAAACAGCGTGCTTGCTCTGATTAGGACTTTTGTGTTACTTCCAGGTTCAAGAGGTAATTTTGGATGTGGTTTGAACATCAACATTTTGAGATTTCTAGATTTAGTGTTTTTTGGGCACAATGGAACCAAGTCTTTGAAATTAAAAATGTCTTTTACTTTTTATTTTTTTTAAAAGATTTTATTCACCCATTTCCAGAGAGAGGAGAAAGGAGGGAGAAAGAGAGGGAGAAGGAAAGGGAGAGAAACATCAATGAGTGGTTGTCTCTCATGTGCCCCCTACTGGGGACCTGCCCCACAACCCAGGCATGTGCCCTGACTGGGAATTGAACCCATGAGCCTTTGGTTCTCAGGCTGGCACTCGATATATTGAGCCATACCAGCCAGGGTGAAAATTAAAAATGTCTTTTTGATATGGAACATATCTTTGGAAAATACAAACCTTGTATTTGCTTCCAGGTTGTCTTTCTATTCCTATCTTGCTGTTCTCGGGCTGGGACGGGGGTTTGGAGTGAAGGTCTCCAGACCTCTGCGTGGAGGAATTTCCCTCTGTGGAGGAACACGACCGTGCTGGGGAAGTCCTCTGGCAGGAATTATCCATATGTGCTCTCACACATTTACACTTTCTTGCACATGTTTTCCATCGTTTTCCTCTTTGACCGGTTGATATAAAATAATTCCCCAAGTCATCGTCATAATAGCTATAATTATAAAATTATTATTTGTTCAGTGTGTTTTATGTCATTATAATTAGCACACCTTAAAGCTACAAATATTAACGATAACTCTTTATCCGTAATTGAGGATGAGACCCACCTCTGAGAGCTGCCGTGAGGATCTGATGGTCGCTGTGCGTCTCCTGCATAGCGCTCGCCACGAGGGGAATCAGATCACTGAGTGTGCAATGGCGTGCTTAATGTCTGTCTCCCCAACAGTTTGCCTGCTTCTTAGGGGTAGGGTTCACCCTTGTTTTGTCCACTGGGGTATCCCCAGCGCCAAGCGCAGTACCTTAGATCTAGGGGCTGAATAAACAGTATGCAAATGGAGTGGTGTTTGTCAAGGTGCCAGGCCAAGTGCTTACACATGCTACATTCTCAGATGGTGGTTCATAGAGAATAATAATAGTGCTTTATATATATTAACTAATGTTCTCAGTAATGTCCATAATTCAAATGAGATTTATAAAATCATGAAGTTATTTTAATGTGTGCTTATTGTGAAAAAAATACAGTCCATACTGAGTATATGAAGCAAAATGAACATTACCATATTAGATTTCCAATCCCTAATTAGGATTCCTCAAATTTTCTTCATCAAGGACCATTTCTCCCAGGGCTATTGAGTGACGAGGGAGAATATTTCCTCCTTAATTGGTTTTTCTTCCTGCTCTTCATCTTTTTATTTTGTTTGTGTTTTTGCTAGTTAAACTTAAAGGCGTAGGAAAGAAGTGGGGTGGGGGAGGTGGCCAGCCTCTCCTCCAGCTCTTCCTGAGTGGTTGATGCAGTAATATGAAGGCCGGCCAGGGGCTCAGAAGCAGAGGAGGAAAGAAGTCCAGAATTGGGCATTTCCTGAGGCATTCCTAGGCGTTCTAGGATGGGGACAGTCCCCTCCTAGAGCGTGTACCCTCTCCTGTGATGTGGGGTGGGAGGGAGACCTGGGAGTTTCGTGTCTACCGCAGGGGCTCCCGTCCATAGTTTTCCCATGCTGGGTGCCTTGCCTCCACTGAAGAGCCTCATTTAACACCCTTAGTAAATTTCCTTTGTGCTCTGTCTCAGCCCCCAGTTTATGCAGAACATTCTGGTTATGCGCCATCAGCGTAGGCAGTTTGCAGAGGTGAATGTAGTCTCTCTGTCTCATAAATAGTATAAATAAATTCATACTCAGTAACTTTAGCACATCACAGTTTATACTCATAAACAGTATCTCCACAGCATTCCTGAAGTCATTACAAAGGACTGTGGGCAGTAAAAGGAGGGGAGCAGGGGGTGCCTGACAAGTGCAGCTGGTCTCCACCTCTCCTCTCCCCACCCTGCCCTTGTTGAACGCTGCCCGCCCCCCCACCCCCACGCTGTCCTGCTGCCGTCGTTTGTTCTCCTGTGTTAGCCCGAAGGTGTATCTGGGGTTTTTCTCATTTGGTTTGGTTTGGCTTTTTTTTTTTTTTTAATAGGGCTGCATAGTTTTCTGTAGTGTGGAAACACAATCCCTTATTCACAACTCAAAAATTCAAAAACCTCTGAAAACTGAGTTTTTAAGTAATTGATATGGCAACACAACCTAACCTTTGCTGGACTCTGGTGGCATACCCATGCCTGAGCAGTCTCTGGCTGTTTTTATCTCAATTGTGTTCGTATCTGCGTGCTTTATGAAGAACTATTAATGTATTTGATTGTAGAGCTCTGCCCCCGACCTGCTGCTGGGTTGTGTCAAGTATGGCAGATGTAATATTGCCTTTCTAAAGGATGAGGTTCTGAATTCCAAAAGGCATGGTCTGCAGGGTTTTGAATAAGAGGTTGGGAGCCTATTTTGGTCATTTAGGGAAGGATACGTTTTTGGAGATAGGTTAAAATCACACTTTGTAAAAGTCACATTAAAGAAAACGATACCATGTTAATATAGGTCATTTAGGAATTAGATCTAGCCATAGCCATGGACATCATGTTGTACAAAAATAGTTATTAATGACTTTAGATTAATGGGACAGCCATTAATTGTCCAGCACGAGCTAGTTCTGTTGTCTCCGTATGTTTGATTTATCGAAGCTGAATTGTCAAGGCTGGGTATCATCGGTGTGGTTGTTGAGTCTGAGTTCTCAGTGGAGCGGAGGCAGCACGGATCTCAAGTGCGAGGGCTGGGCCAGAGGAAGTGCTGGTGAGGGAGAAAACCAGGAGCAGGGTGGAGACTGCCGGCTGTGGCGTTGTCCAATTGCAAGGCCAGCCTGACGCCAAGTGCGGTGGAGTGTGAGCCTGACGGGGAGTCCTAGCCTGTTGTGAGGAGGCCCAGCCAGGTGCCCCCCGAACAGGTCTGCCGGAGCTGCCCGGCTGCCCTCAGCCAGGGGCTGTGAGCCGCTGGGTCACTTAAATCCCAGTAGCTGGAAGTTTAGGAGGCGCTGGGTCACTTAAATCCCCGTAGCTGGAAGTCTAGGAGGCGGGCGCGTTCCCATGGCAACCACGTTCCCACGTGGTCGATATCCAGGGTTTTCCTGATCATAGATGTCAAAAAGATAGATATGTATATTTGCTTAATTTATAGAGTTCCCTTTTTATGGTGCAGAATATTCAGGAGTTCCAGTGCTCCTCTTGTGCAGGGGGATTTTTTGGTCAGGATCAGTTTGAGAAAAGAACTTCCTGCGTCTGTCACTATGATGACAGGCGCAAACACCACCAACATCTCAGGGGCTGAAACGACAAGTGTTTATGTCTTTGTCCACATGGCTTATCCACCTGGGGAGTGGAGTGAGCGGCTTGCAGGTAGCTCTTCCCCACGGCATCCTCACTCGGGGACCCGGGTCGGGAGAACCTGCACTGCCTGATATCACTGGTCATGATGTCAGAGGGGAGGGACCATGGTGGACGGCCCACTGGTTTTGAAGCTCTTGTCTGGAAGTGACACGTGTCATTTCTGTCCACATTTCATTGCCCAAAGCAAAGCCAGTCACCAGGCCATAGGTGACCTCAGAGGCAAGTGCAGTTTCATTTTCCCAGAAGAAGAGGAGTGTAGAGGGTGATCATCAGCCCTGATGACTCTCACACGTGTTTCATCAGTCAGGGCCCCAGAAGGAACAGGTGGCACTCAGATTGGTTAGTGAGGGTCCTCCTTACCAGAGGATGATGATTCAATGGTCTGTGGCTGTGTGATAAGCTGCCCCCAACCTCAAAGACTTAAAACACTCATTTGTCGTGAGTCTAAAGTACAATTCCCACGTTCAGGAATTAGGGTAGTGCATAGAG